TAAAATTGCCTATTTGAAACCCCGTTATTGTGCACTAACCGTTTTATACTAAGGATCTTTCGTCGTCATAAATCTAATAATTTCACATAGAAATGTTTATTAAAAATCTAGTAATTGTACAATTAAATAGTTCAATTAATCTTCACTTGCAATCATTGATAACAAAATCATATAATATCGATAACTTCAATACTATATCGGCGCATTTAAGATATTACCTATTTAAACGGCTTCTCGCATAGTACAAAGTAGAATTACACAATTAAATAAAGTTTTACAAGAAGATAATCTATTGGCTAAACTAATAAATACAGTAAGTTATTATCAAGTGCATAATGAAATAACTTTATAATTCAAAAATCAGTTGCGTTGAAAACTTTCGCATGTTAACAACCTAATCGACGCTGAACGAGCAGTTTCCGAGGTCGCTTTATTATTTGGAAAAATACCAACAATACTTCCATAATACCTGAACTAATATAGCAATGTAAAATGTTTAGCGGTAAAGTTTGCTTTTTTATTATTTACAGTTATCTCGCCACACACAAGGGGAGTAACATAATTCACAAGGAAAAATAATTGAATCGAACATTTTAGTAATCTGTGGCTAATGTTTTATTGTAACGCACAACAATACACACACACACACACGGTTGTTTCCGTTAATTAACCAGCTGGGCTTTTGTTTAATCCGGTACAATATCCCACGTATGCCTCTGTGTGTGTACATGTACACACGCGCATTTAGACCACCGCGGCGGCCGTCGTGTTTACGAGTCGTCTGTAATCCAAAATTGCGTTATAAACACACACTGAGCATTTGCAACGGCCCCGTGCACCTTGTCCGACGTCAATTCGGCGGTTGTTATAAAATTAAAAAACCGCCATCGGTCGTTTCGCTAAAGACTGCACCAGCCTTCGGATGTTGCTGCGGAATACCTACAACGGTTTTATAAATTACACGCAGTTTGTTTATATGTTTTTCTTTTGTACATTGTAATTAACGCGTTTGCATGACGTCATAAGCTCATAATGAACTTTTCAAGGAGACACGCGATTAAATCGAGTGCTTGTAATATACGCGCTGTAATGAACGATAAAAAATAATACCAACAACTATTGTTGTTTTTATGTATTCGTTTAACGAGTGCGGTTGGGTACAGTAAAAATTGCCGCGTTATTAAAAACGTATTTGCCGTTAGCTACGGATCGTATCGGCCAAGTATTAATCTTGTCGATCTCCACGACCGCTGCGACAACGACAGTTTTTAATTGTGCCGGTTATTAAAACATGATTAGCGAACAGCCGCTGCCAGTTATCGTCAAGGCTGAGAAACCAAACCGGCTGCGCTTTCATATTCTGCTAAAATTCGCTCGTTTTGTCATTCGGTAAACTCGCATTTGTATGTAAAACACACGCCCCCCATTGACTTCCGGTTGCCATATTCATGACGTTTTACCGTGTGCAATTTAATGCTTTGCATAATGCTAAATAGTAACGTTTAGTCGACATACTGATCTTTTTGGGTATCAATTTTACAATAGAGACATTAATAATTGTTCAGTCGTGGTGTTAATTGAAGAACCAGCTAAACAAAAACGATAGAAGTTGAACAAAAATTGTCACTTGTTCTTTTAAAAAAACTATTATAAAAATTACGAGCTCATTGCTACAGCAGGTGCTTTGATTAAATTATTATTATAATTATTTTTAATTTATAAGCCCCGTTAAAATATAACAAGGATAGAACATATCACATCAATACTACAGTAGAATTAAACTAGTGCAATTCTCATTGGTAAATATTTACTTTATTATACTAGTACTTACAAATATAAATAATAGTTTGATTCGATTAATCTAATGAAACTAAAATAAACATTATTTTTAGCTGGTATAAAACTTGTAAAATGCTTGAGCTTATGTCACATTTATATTGACTCGGATTGAAAGTGCATTAGAGTCTAAATTCTTTATGGATTTTAAATTTAAATATTTGTGGTTAACAGCGTGTCACGCGCCGGTAATGTTTCAATTAAACGGATTTCAAAGCGAACGACCCAATTGAAATACGTCACCCTATTTTTCATTCACGTTTGTTTTCTCGCTTTACCCTCTTATTGATTTTGTCGTCGATAAGTTTGAGAAAAGTTACCCAATCGGAGTTCTTAATAGATCTAGACATTCAAAGTGTTTTACTTACATTAAGCTACGTTCGAATAAAATGTAGCCTACACTTTTTGGATACAGATAATTCAAAATGGGACTGAATACAACGCAGACTTTTGCGTATGAAAGCACACATGAAAATGCACCATGCTGTTCAAGTCAGGATTGTAGTAGGGAATCGGAGGTGTAGCAATATTTGAGGAGTCGTTTAAAGCCATGCAAGTGTACTACGCAGGGGCCAGGTGAACGATTTGAATACCATTTCAATATGCCTTTAAAAGGTCTCCGCTCGATTTAACTTTATCTCCGTTAACAATTTTTATGTGACATTACATTATCTTCTAGGCTGGCTCGATGCCGATGCACTTCATACATAGTATCTGCATTTGAACATATTATTATATATATATATTTATTTTCATATTGTTCTTAGCACAACAAAAATGTTGACCAGAGAGGTTACGTGGATACGACAATTTGTTCTGTAAACCGTCCAAATAACATAAAATTACATTGTAATTTAGTTTTTTCTCATTTCACGTTGGAGTTTTTTAACTTTTGTTGAAAGTTGCAATTTTGGAATTTTCAGAAAATTTATCATACTATTTAAAAAAAAATCAACATTACAATTAATTTAACGAGTCAATTAACGTTTTATGATTGCGTTTTGCTAGTTCGCTTCAGAGGATTAAACTTTGAGAATAATACTAAACTCAAATTGAACTTTGACGTTCATAATTTCATTTAAACTTAACTAGGAAACTTTAAATTCATAAAAATACAACGTATAGTAATATATTATTTCGTCTAGGTGACTTTTGTTTTTATGCACAACAAATTCGTCCATTTTAATGAATGATTGTATTTAGAGTGATTATACGTATGCGTTGAAGTATACATTTTAAAACTACACATGGGTTTTGCCTATAATATCTAACTGTTGTAGTAAATTTGGAAGTTACGCAGAGTGCATAATTAATTAAGAAAGTATGATGCAATAGATTAAATGTATCAGATAAATGGTAATAATAGACGAAGAAAGATGACTATAACATTTTCAGATTCTCTTGTTCTTTGAAAAATGTATTGATTATTGTTGTTCGCAGAATCAATTTCTCTCTTTAAGACATATCCATTACTTTTGGAGTGAAATCTTTATAATTAAATAAAAGATAGTCAAAATTATGAATATTTTTCATTTACTTGAATTATTTGTCCGAAAAATGTAAATAATTGTGTTTATTATACACATACATAGTAAGTTTACTATATTAGTCTGTGATTTATTTATTCAGTGAGTGCAATGATTTAGTAAATAGAAGATACTTAAAACACAAGTTAGAATTTCAGTCTCTTTTCATAATGATAAAATTTATTGATAACAAAGTTAAAATGAATTTTATGTATATATCAAATATATTGACTCATTAGGCAACTTAATTAAAATTAAACTAACTTGCATTTTTTAAGGCGTTATTTTCTAACTTCGCTAATTGATTTAGTATAAAAACTGTTTTGTTTATAATCAAACTGAAATTTAATTATTAAACCGAAACAAAAACATTTAAATGGGCGTTAAATAAAATATAAAATGTACCGAAGTAATTTTGCTTACATCTGTGTACTTTTTAATTATATTGAAATATAAACGATGAAGAATAATTCTATAAAACGTATTAGTGTCTAATACGTTATAAAGTAATTTTATTTACTCAAGCCAAAGAAAAAAAATCTTCAAGTATTTGATTTTTTAATTGAGCATTTAATTTTATTATCAATCTGAGTTTTGAATAATCTCTTATAATTTAATACGAATTGATTAATTTGTGACTAATATAAATTAAAACTAAAAATATATATGTAAAGTACTAATTTAAAATTAAAAATTATTAAAAATATTTAACTTAAATAGCCACCAAAAAGACTAAAAAATCGCTAAACACATATCAGCAATATGTGTTTTGGACTAATTTTGGTAAAAAATGTTTCCGAATTACGTATACGTGGTTTTTTTTAGTATTTTATGTGATTATTTTTAGCTTTAAATATTTTACATTTACTTTTAAACTTAGATAAAAATATTTAAAAATTTGAAAATATACAAATAATATTTATTCAAAAGTTTTGTTTTAATCAAGAATTTTCATTAAGAAAGTAATAGTAATTTTTTTTTAGTGTGGCAATTAATACTTAAGGATAGTATATAATACGATAGAATGTTTATATTAGTTATTTCTATATTTAATTGTAAAAGTTGTATTAAAATTTAAATAAATAACATTATTCTTTTCTGCTGCATATTAAATGAAATTATTTATACAGGAATAAGCTAATATATTGCGTTTACTTTTTATTTTAAGTTAAATAAAATCTTAGGTTTTTACAATCTGAGTTTTTTTTTTTTTGAATTAAGCAAAGAAATAATGATAGAAATAAAACACCGGTTTATGATTCCAAAATCTATAAAAAGCGAATATCCCATGTCAAATTTTTACTCCTCCATTAATGATAAAGTTTTTATTTCTTTATTTTAACTACAAAAAGCCTATTATTTGTTTTATTGCAGGCCTTTAAAAATTGTAATTTGATCATATATACTACTCGACATGGAACGTAATAAAAGTTTACATTATTTATGTCATTATAAAATTAAACATTGTTAGAAAGTGTGTGTACAACATGTAACTTATTTGTTAATGAGGTTTTTGGTTTGGTTATATTTGTTTTTTCCAAAATTATTAGCTATTTAGCAAACTACTTCAAGTAAAGTATTTTTTAAGTCTATTCGAGATATAAATTTTATTTAGCATATGTATTTTATTTTAAGTACCTTTAGGCGGATTGATATGTACACCGGAACGGTAAAGCGATTCATCGTCTTTCCAATCGTTGTTCCTGATTATTGTGCGCGTACCATAAACAGTTAACACAATTGCCAAGCTCATCTTAAGCCATTTCGGTCCTAGTTTCTTTTCTAGTACCGAGTACCCGTAACCGAATAAGAAACAGTAACCAATACTGGGCATGTAGAGCACTCGTTCGGCCAACACGAATCCCACATAAAAGAACATATTAGAAACAGGAACAAACGGTATGGTTGTGAGAGCTACACCGAGAGCTACAGTTCGAACCTATGGAAAAATATATTAAGACTTGTAAGATGCATAAACAAATAATACAATTACAATAATAATGGTCAGCAAAATAATGTAATAAAAATTGTTGTTTTTAAATATTAAAAAATAAATGTTTTACCGGAACATCCGTATGAGTGACTTTTTGAGGAGACTTTGTTCTAGAACAACATTTGTGTGCTCGATTTCGAAATTTGTTTGTCTTGTATACGAACTTTGCAGATCGTTTCACCGTAGTAAATAGAGCTGCGAACAATAAAAGTGATAGGGCGTTTCTTGGATCGTACACCGATGTTACTAGAGGTACAGAATCCATTGACCAATCAAATCCCAGCCGCCGCGGATAAATGAGTAGCCTGACGTTTTCTACCGGTAAGTAGAGAAAAGTCAATGTCCTTGTAACTAAACTGGGCGACTTGGCTGCTGGGTTATCGGCCGTTGCGAACACCGGAGGACCATTTTCGCCCATCAATGACATTCTAACAAACAGTAAACCTGCTGCAGCGCTTGATATTATCGCCAATGTCCTATATAATCCACTGGCATTCTAAATAAAAAAATAAAAACATATATAGGTAAAAAATAATTTTGTTTATAAACATCATTTCTAACGGTATTAGTATACGTTAATATTACTGTTATCTTACTACTGTTTTATTATTTTTCTATATTTTACAATAAAGATCTTGATTTTTCTATAAAATATATCGCAAAATCTTTATGAGTACTATACTGTAATTTGTTTATAACGAATCTAAAACGTTTTTCGTGTAATTTTTACATTTTCAGAAAATATACGTGTAACATTCCATTCCTTACGGGCTTACCGAAATGTACATAAAATATTTTGTATACTTAGTCTTGTAGGTACGATTATAACGCATTGCAAAGATGAATCGCGTCTGTTAGGTATCATATTTTGTATCACAATTTGTAAGATTGTGATTTATTTAATTTTTCAAATTCATATTTCGTACTGCATAGCACAATAACTATATAACGAGACGTTGTAAACTCATTGAAACCTTACATTCACTGAATTATTATTCCTTTAGTTGTTATTTGTATCTGTATAATTTTAACAACATATAATTACCGACATATACAACATAAAAGACCATAACTTACAGTAGTCTATTGCAAGTATATGTATGAACGAACAAGAGGCGTTTGTTCTTGTTGGCTACATATTTTGCAAAAGAGACCGGCTGTTTACCTAGTTGGTCGTTCGTAATTGTTGTTGTTATTTCTGCCACTGTAACTTATATGCATGATTACACTGATTAATGTAACTTAAGTGGTATGGCCGAGGTCGTAAATTATTCCTCAAAGGCAAATCGCGTGTCAGACGACCAAGCGCCTTGTCATGCCATTTGGTAATAATTTTATTTAAATTGTCGCTCAATCATCTGAATTTCATTGATATAATTTATTGATGCATGAAGAACAATTACCGATCATGATGATGTCGATCATTTATTCAGATGAGTTAAATGTAATAATAATGAAACTTATTTAAGAAAATCTTTTAGTTTTATATTCAATTTATAAATTTTTTATTTCCTCTGTTTCTTACATTTTTGTTGAAATAATTTTTAAATATACATTATATTACTACTCATTCGTAAAAAATATTCAAAGTATTTGAAAAAATTCTTAAAAATTTCAACATTCATCACAGTTTAATTTTATCAATGAGTTATCATAAATTTTAAACAGACTACAGACAATAACATACACATGTCTATTTATTTTAATAATAATATCGGGCCATACACAATGAGAGTTTAATCAAGCTTATTTTTTCGTATTTTCAAGTATATAGTTCTTTCATTCGTTTAATTTTTTATGAAACTTTTTCGAAGTCTTTTTATTTAACAATGAATTATTAACGATTAAATACATAGTCATTTATATTTTAATATAAGTAGGTATATTTTGGGTTACCTATAAATTATTGTTTTGAAATGTTGAAGTATGTGATAATTTACGATATTGTGTTGATTTGAAAAAGGAGTAACGAGGATTTTGAAGAAAATGCTTGTACTCTATTATTATATTTTACGTGTTTTTCGTGTCAAAGTCACATTTTAAATAGACAAATGAGTTTGACTAAAGGACAGTTGATTTATGAGGTCAATCCGACTCGGGATCATAGGAAAATTAGTAATTTTCAAACGGTGAAATATGATGATATAAATCATTGTAATTCTACACACAAGTTTTTATCGTGCAGCATTATAGTCGTGGCGTCTGGGCATTTAGTTATCGATTTTTTACACCTATAGAATCACACGATTTCATTATCCAACATTTGATTAAGTAATCACTTCGTACCGAGATATTTTTAAAAATTATATTCGGGTTCATTAAAGCCTATTGAATGTCTTTAACAGTCATCCACTAGAATAGCGAAGTGTTTGAGTAAAGCCTAATTCAACTTTAAAATAATTCATATAACATAAATTTTAATAATTTAAATGACTGAGTCATCATTGTATAACTAGTAAATTAAATATTTTTTATTGCTATATTTTCAATTCTAGTATTGAGTTCATTTTTTCAACAAATTTTGTATTTAAGAAACATAAAACTTAATCCAATTTCATTGATCCCTTTTATATATAATATTTATATAGAAATTGATCAATGATTGCATATAAGTAATAATAAAAACATTTGCAGTTAACTCATGAATAAGGATTTATGAATAAATTATAATCTCATGAAATATCTTAACATCGTTTTAATTTATTATAATGATATTTAACATAGTATGTTGTATTTTAAATATATATATATGTATATTATATATTTTCTTTAATTATGATTTATATTAAAAAATATCGCCACATTTACTTATGTTTGAAGTTAATTTAAAACAGTAAAATTATTTATAATGTCAAAAAACTTATTACAGTTTTATTTTTAATTTTTTAATGAATTCAACATTAATTTTGAGTTGAAATTTATTTATATATAATATTGAAGATTAGTTTTTATTAAGATGTAAGAATCATTAAATTGTTTTAAACATGAAATAAAGGCTAATAATTTTACTATATGCATAATTTTTGAAAATTACTAGTGATAACTACGTAAGCTATAAATTGATTTCAGAAAAACAATAAGGAAAATACAAAATTATTTATTGCTTTTTTGAATATAAAAATATATAAATTTTAAGCATAGAAATGCTTTAATTTTAAAGAAGCCATAAAAATACAAAATTTTAAGAAGTCATAAATGTTTAAAATTTAAAGAAGCCATAGAAATATATAAATTTAAAGAAGCTATAGAAATGCTTAAAACTTTAAAGAAGCCATAGAAATGTTTTAATTTTAAAGAAGCCATAAAAATATATAAATTTAAAGAAGCTATAGAAATGCTTTAAATTTAAAGAAGCCATAGAAATGCTTTAAAATTAAAGAAGCCATATAAATGCTTAAATTTTAAAGAAGCTATAGAAATGCTTAAAATTTAGAGAAGCCATAGAAATGCTTTAAAATTAAAGAAGCCATATAAATGCTTAAAATTTAAAGAAGCCATAGAAATGCTTAAAATTTAAAGAAGCCATATAAATGCTTAAAATTTAAAGAAGCCATAGAAATGCTTTAATTTTAAAGAAGCCATAAAAATATATAAATTTAAAGAAGCCATAGAAATGCTTTAAAATTAAAGAAGCCATATAAATGCTTAAATTTTAAAGAAGCTATAGAAATGCTTAAAATTTAGAGAAGCCATAGAAATGCTTTAAAATTAAAGAAGCCATATAAATGCTTTAAATTTAAAGAAGCCATAGAAATGCTTTAAAATTAAAGAAGCCATATAAATGCTTAAATTTTAAAGAAGCTATAGAAATGCTTAAAATTTAGAGAAGCCATAGAAATGCTTTAAAATTAAAGAAGCCATATAAATGCTTAAAATTTAAAGAAGCCATAGAAATGCTTTAAAATTAAAGAAGCCATATAAATGCTTAAATTTTAAAGAAGCTATAGAAATGCTTAAAATTTAGAGAAGCCATAGAAATGCTTTAAAATTAAAGAAGCCATATAAATGCTTAAAATTTAAAGAAGCCATAGAAATGCTTTAAAATTAAAGAAGCCATATAAATGCTTAAATTTTAAAGAAGCTATAGAAATGCTTAAAATTTAGAGAAGCCATAGAAATGCTTTAAAATTAAAGAAGCCATATAAATGCTTAAAATTTAAAGAAGCCATAGAAATGCTTTAAAATTAAAGAAGCCATATAAATGCTTAAATTTTAAAGAAGCTATAGAAATGCTTAAAATTTAGAGAAGCCATAGTAATGTTTTAAATTTTAAGAAGCCACAGAAATGCTTAAAAATATAAAGAAGCCATAGAAATGCTTAAAATTTAGAGGAACCATAAAAATGTATATATATATTAAACTTATTGATTAAATGTTTTCATTAAATAATCTTACTAAAATTTTAAACATTTTCCTAGAATAAAAATGATTTTTTATTCATAATTAATTTTTTTTTTCAAACACTCGTGTTTTGGTGTGTTTTAAAACGTACTAAAAACATTATCTTTAAAATTTTTATTGTAGCACTGGAAATAACACGTTTTAGTTCTATAAATCAGTATCTCTACTAATATACATATTTATATATATTAGTATCAGTAATAAAATAACTATTGATTGACACATAGACAATGTCTTTAATTATTTTTCTTATTGCATAAACTAATATGAATTTTTATTTCACTTATTTTTCAAAGAAATATGATTATCATAAATATTTGTTTTAAATTAAAATTATTACTTTTTACCTTTAAATTTAAAGTCTGGTGGAAAACTATCTTCTCTTGTTTTTAAATTATGAAAGAAGTATTTTATAATTTATTTTTACTATTGTGAAACAAAAAAAATATTATGTATAAGATAAATTTAGCAGTACAATATCGTTAAACTTTGACGAATTCATCACTATAAACTTATTTGTTTAATCTTCATCAACGGGAAATTTTAAAGCATTTTCCAAAATTAGTTTTAAACGTTCTTCTTCCAATATATTTATATTCTGACTGTAAATTTCAGGGTCTTCTTTTATAACATCATCATCATTTAAAATAATGGCACCGCTTGAATATTCATATTCTTCGGGTTTATGTTTAACGGAATAACCAGTTTGTTTCATATAAGCGTCAATTTTAGACCTGAGTTGTCGTGCCTCAGCTAAATTGCCAAAATTAGTCATCAGACCAACAAATTCAGTTATGTCTAAAGAGGCATCTTCTGCTGTCTTAGCATTGAGAAACCACGTGTACTGAACATAGTACTCGTTTCCAAATCCACAACGTGCCATTGCTTCTTCTAAAATCATTGCCGGCATTTTCCCATGTAATCGTTGATCAGAACAGACCATGTCGTTGAATACTTCATACGCTTTGGTAATTGTAGTGTTAACATCAACAAAAGTAGGTTTGTTACCAGTTACAATTGATTTAGATTTAATAATACCATCGTCGATGCATTGATCATCCGTATTTATCTTGGATAAATCCAATAATCGCTTTT